AATGTGAGAAATTTCGGACCCATGAAGATCAGAGGGAGAGCTCAATTGACTTCTGTTGAATCATGATTCACCCAATAAATTTGACTGTATCAGCTGCAATGGTAGTTCTTATTTTCCTTCAGGAGCATACATTTGATATATGACTTTGGAGAAAGCCACACCAGATTCTATTTGCCTAGTCTAGTTTTCATTCCTGATCCTTGAAGATGCATTGGTAAGTTCTACAACCTGGCCAATTAGAGTCCACTGATCATGCCAGACCCAATCCTACATAAAGTGAAGTCAATAAAAATATCGACATTAATTCTGGGGTTATGAAACAACTTAACCTGGAGGTACTTACAAGCCAGGCAGTGACAGCTTTGAAAAAAAAAAATGACTATGCACCCCTTCTTTCACAAACTGCACCTCAACCAGAGCCGGGAATATGGTGGCTCATACAGCATTTGGCTTAACTAAATTTCTTTTGCACAAAAGTAGTTGTTTCTTTTTTCAAGCAGTTTTGTTCCCCTGACTTGGGAAACACCCACTGACGCTGCTTTTGGAGGTTCACCAGCCCAGGACACAGCTGTGGACTGAGGACCACGCACACTTTTTCTACTGCATACAAACATCAGGGAACTGTGGTTTAAGCTCTCCATGGAAATTGCAGTAGCTTCACTCTTGCTGATAGCCAGGAATTTAAAACAAAATGCTATCTGTTGGTAACAAAACTGTTGCAAAATAAAACATATTTTGCTTATTTGTAGACTAAATGTTTGCAGTCTCTAACAGTGGTAAATGTGTTTTCCCAGCTGGCTTCCTCTTGTACTCTGACTCACTTGGTTTTGTTACACAGGAGAAGCATTTAAGCCTAGAAGACTCTCTGAAGTTGTTTGTTAACTGTCTTGAAAACACATTTTAAAATGTACTGAAAGATGTTGTATTTTCACCCATAGCTATCAAGTCATTTGTTCTATCAACCAGGGAAATCCCATGCATTTCTTATCCTAAAAGAATGTGACCAGCTTGAAAGAGCAGCAGGATCTATTTCGTACCAAAAAGACACTTTAAGTGGCTTTGAAATCTCTTCTTCATGAATAGCCCCTGTGATAGCAATGTAAGTTTTTGTCAAGTAAGGCCCTACATCCTCTCTGAAAAAGAGCAATAAAAGTTTCATTCTGTATAAATTGCATGCTGTATTTTAGTATAAAATGTAAATGCCTGTAATTTGATTGACTGTTTTTTAAGTTAGGGATTGTGATCTTTGTGCTTGGAAGTTTAACATTCTAAAATATGACCAGAGATAAAATATTCAGTTGAAAGGTGATGCCCATCTCATTGGACAAACAACGTCTGAACAGACGAGCCCAAGTGACTGCACATGAAGCAAATGTGATGTTTAAATATTCTGCCTGACTACAGTTCCACTTGTGACTGAGCAGGGCTGTATTACAACTGTATAAAGTTGACTTTTCCAGTCAAGGCAGAGACATAGACAGATTTGCTGTGCACACTGTGGGTGGAGGATCCTGTCCCAGCACACTTCTACCTTCTGCTGCAGCACTCATCTTTGTTCACTGGTATAGATCAGAGCCAAAATTGGAGCAGCTATCCTATCCTTCCTGCCAAAACCACACAATCCTCAGATAACCTGAAAGGTGTGTACTATCAAGCTGAAATTTGGCTCAGTAGACATTTGTTAACAGTTAGCATGGATGTTCCAGCAGGGGGACTCGATGATCTTTCGAGGTCCCTTCCAATTCCTGACATTCTGTGATTTTCAGCCTTGTGTTTTGGAGCACTGAATGGCATCTTAAGCAGCAGCAGTGGCAGCCATTCACAGAAAGCAGGCGAGGCCTCTGATTCCAGGGCAATGCTCAGATGCTCTCACTTTACCCGCTGAGCATCCCACAGGCCCAAGTGCAAAGGTTTGTGATGGAGCTTTTCTCCAGACATCTTTGAACCTCAAGCACTGTAGGGGCATTTCAGTCCAGGAGATAAGACTAGCTCTAGTTTCAGGTCAATCTAAAACACATATTATGGGGCCTTCACATCAGCTTGAATATATTGATCCATTTCCATGATACCTCATTACTTGATAGCTGAGACATAGCCTTTGAGAGATGTCAGTGCTTGAATGCTTACTACTATGTGGAAGCAATAACTGCTGTCTCTCAAAACTGCAGTGTTCAGTTTGGAAGTGAAATAATATAAAACAAGGCACGAGAAAAGAGTAGCTGAATGGTTAGAGTGAAAAATCACTATGATAAAACGTGAGCAAAGGAAATTTAGATTAATAGAAACATGATGTAATGAAATATTATAAATATTATAAATATCATAGTAGTAGTAATTCAGCAGTACTAATATTGAGTTACTATTATGCTATTTAAACAAATTCCTTAGATTGATTCAAATGAAACATGAGATGTATAAAGAGATCTTGAACGTGAATATGTTGGACTAAATAAGAACCACCTGAGCCTCATAATTAAAATAATGAAATCTAAGAAACATTTCTTCATTGCACGAGGTTGCACAAAAAGAAGCAAAGGAGCCGGTGAGTTCCACATATCTACCTTTGTTGCAGCAAATGGAGCTACTGTAGGATGAACCCATTTTCCATTTGGCAAGTTTTAAAAGAAGATCATGAAGAAAATAGTAACTGAGAATGAGAAAACCACGGGAGGAGGCCGGAATGAAAATGCAGCAAGGAGCAGAAGTGAGATGCAGCCAGGTTAATCAAAGCCTCTGTCTGTCAAACCAGCATTTTTCACAAATGATTGTGTGGTTCATGATCAAATTTGCATCTAAAAAGTGAGAATGTTTTCAAAAGTAAATCCTCTTGTGCCTCAGGTGCAATTTTCAGTGCCAATATTTTTTTTTTCCATTTAGAAGTCAAATAGAAATGCCAAAAAAGAGTTGTTTTCAAGCCAGCTAAGTTAGATTTGTTTTCCTTCTCACAGGTGCAAAAATAAACCTTTCTTTCTTAGTACTAGAAAAAACTTCCAGGCAATCAAAAAACCAAATATCCTATTTCATCCACATATAATTGTAAAAAAGGAAACAAAAACACAAAGGAACAGAAAGTTTAGTTGCTCAAAGTTGGCACTGAGACTATTTCTTCATAACAATAATCAGTATGGCTTAAATAGGATCTTGGATTCTCAGAAACAAATCCCATTCCACCTCTTAAAACCACACCTTAGGGAAAACATGAATTATCAGTTTGAGATGACACCAGGTTTAAGTTCTGGCTTTAAGTTATCCATCAGTTCGGTTTCTTCATTGTACAAAACAGTTCCTTCCTTTAGAAATACAGTAATATTTGTTTATGTTACTGCAGGGCAGAAGCCTGGAAAGAATTCTGGCCTCAGCCCAGCAATCCACCCTGTCCAGATCCCTCTGTAGGTCCTTCCTACTCTCAGGCAGATCAACACTTCCCCCCAACTTGCTGTCACCTGCAAACCCACAATACATTTCCTCAGTGTCAAGTTGGGGCAGAAAACATGGACCTTCATTGTTTGCAGCAGGGAGCCTCCAACTGATATTATGTCCCCCTGCATGGTTCAGGCTCAGCCATCAGCTGCTTTGCCAGAGAGAGCTTCAGGTCCCTCATCTGCTTCTACACCACTGAAACTACTTCATAGCTGCCAATCTGCAGGCAGGAAAGGACCCTTCCTCCTGGTGCCATGAGCTTCTTGCCTTCCTCATCATGGAAATCTACTTTTGAGCCTGATAAGCACTGACTCTGCTTGCCTCCACTTCAGTATATGTTTCTCCTGAGCCTTCTCATCTCAGTGTTAAGCTCTCCTAGCTTTCTCAGCATCTCTTCAGTAACATCCCTTAATCATCTTCATGGCTACTGGCTGGATTTGCTTGAGTACATCTCTTGAACTGGACCCAGCACTCCAGATGTATCTCACCAGTGCTGAGTAGAGGAAAAGATCACTTCTCTCAACCTAATGAGAAAGATCTTTCTAAGGCAGCCCAAGAAACTGCTGGCCATTGCTGACTGATGCTCAACTTCTTGTCCAGCAGGAGCCCCAGCTGTGCCAAGCTACTTTCCAGCCTGTGGTTCTCCAGCCTGTCATAGTGCAAAGGATTATTTCTCCCTAGGAGCAAGACTGGCATTTCCTTGGTCTAAACTTCATGAATTTCTTCTCTGAAACCTCTAGAGTTCCCTTTGAATGGCACCTACCTGGTGTATCAAATGCTCCTTCTCCTTTTGTATTCTCTGCAAACTTGCTGAGCTCTGCTCTGTTCCATTGTCCAGGTCACTACAGAAGATGTTAAACAATCAACTCTTGGTTTTCTCAGCCAGTGACTCCTCCAGCTGGACTTTATGATACTCATCATAACATTGTGAGCTTGGCTCTTCAGCCAGTTTTCTATCCACCTCACTGTACATTTATATAACCTGTACTTCATCAGTTGTCAATGAGGCTGTTGTGGCAGATAGAGGCTCTAGCAAGGCTTTTGATGAAGTAAACATCAGCAGCTCTCCCCTCATCCACCAAGCAAGCCATCTCATTGCAGAAGGCTTTCGGGTTTGTAAAACACAGTTTCCCCTTCATAAATCATTGCTGGATACTCCCAACCACCCTCTTGTCCTTCATATGTTTGGAAAAGGCTTCCAGTACTAGATGCTTCATCATCTTCCCAGAACTGTGAGAAAGCCAACCAGCCAGCAGTTCCCTAAATCCTCCATCCAGTCCTGCTCGAAGACAGGAGTGACACCGACTTTCTGCCAGCCCTCTCCCAGTCAGCCACAAAGCCATCACTTGTTCTGTTTTTGTACAGGACCTTGAAGGATCTGTGACCTCTTCCTAAGTAGTGTGACAATACAATGAATACAAACTAATGCTCATTTCGTATTACCTCACCTTACCTTAATGGTTACAAGTAATACCTCACCTGACCTTAATAATTGTTGCAAGTGAGAGTTCAGTGAGAGGTTATTTTAGGTTCCAGGCAGCCTCTATGATAGCTCTTACGTAAATAGAGACATCACAGGCTTATTTATGTTAAACTTTTATTAAGTCGAGCTCGATTACTGAATCACAAACTCTCGGCCCAGGAATTGCTGAGCTTAATGCATGTTGAGAAAAGTTAAGGCATCTCTTCAACTACGTTATGATTTTTCTGCTGGAACTTAGAATCACTCTGCAACAGAGAAAACTATAAAAATGTCAAATTTCGTAGTAGCACATTCTTGTCATCAGAAACATTTTGTAATTTGTTTTTTATTGTAACATCTTCATCACTGACTGAAATATGGATCAGATTTGAGTACTAACTACAACATCAGACAAAAAAGCAGCAGGAACATATGGATAAAACTGCTATAAAATCTCCCTACCCAACCAAAACTTGCTTAAAATCTTGTAAATAAATTTCCTCATACAGCTAGCCATTTTAAAGTTTCATTTGACACATCCAAACAGATTCAGGTTTTCAAAAAAATCAAGACCCTTGTAAGGATAGATGTGAGCCCCGAAGAGCTAGCCACATTTAGGGAAAGGCAGTAAAAGGGAGAAGCAAAAATAAGTGCATTAACTTTAGTAAATTCAGCAACATGGGTCTAATTATTTTCTTCCCCTTTATTCTCTTCTACCTATTTCTCCTACATCATTTTTCTTCATTTCTTTATTTTAATTTCTATCCCTGTGTTGCTGAACTGTGTTTTCCTCTCCAGTTCCCTTCAGGAATTTCTAACTTTCTGTTCTCTGTCTTCTCTTTCATTCCCCTTGTCTGTGCTTCTCCTTTATCCTTTGCCTGGTGCCTCTCCTTCAGGTGCTGAACACAGTAAGTTCATCTTCTCTTGGAAATCTCTTTCCTTTTTCATCTAACTTCACAGACATTCCACCTCTCAATTATATATAATCACAATTTTTTTCCCCTGCTCCTTACATGGAAAAAATTGTGTGAATGGAAATGGTTTGAAGAGTATAGGAACTGAAGTCAGATTGCTTCCAGTTTTTTCTTGTTTGTATCTCTTCTTCTGTCCTTCCTCTCATGCTACCTGCCTATTCTGCTTCAAAACAGGCAGTAAAGCTAGTGAGGAGAAGCATCACTGCTCCTAGAAGCAGCCCTTAGGAACAAAGAGCATCTACGTTCCCAGAAGAAAACCAACAAATCCCATCATTTCAGCACCAAAATAAATTTGAATAGCCTGTCTTGTTTTAAATCTGTGCTTTTCTCACAGATGAGAAAGGATAGAAATGAGATATAAGATGTAAGATATGCAGTCCAGTGAGATGTCAATCAACTACAGAAAGAAATATTAACTGACAACTTTAAAGTGAGTTGTTATAGGCAAAGATTCTTTTTGTTCACTCTTACTTTTCATTCCTACATGCCTTGAGTAGATCTGAGGTTGTAAAAGTAAGCCATTTCTGTTCTGCGATGCTGGTTGCAGGCCTCTGATGGAGAAATTCTTTTTCACACTCCAAATTCCTTTCAGAGCCGCTGTTAATAATTAGTCAAAATAATACTGTTACAACTGATTATTTAAACTTGTTCTAAAACTGGCAGAAGATAGATAGTCCCTTTGGTCAGTTCTGTAATTAGACATTGGTAGGGACAGTGCTATAAGCATCTTCCACAGTTAATGGAAAAGAGTGACTGACATCATCAGAGAGCAATTTTGTAATGTCCATTCGTATGATCAAATTGTAATCTTTCAGACAATTTTGATCCAGTGGCAGATGAATGTAGTGCAGTGTTGGTGTGTTAAGATCTTAACTAACATTAGACACAAGAGTGGGCTGAGCAGACTAATGATAACATCTGCAACTCAACCACTTGCCCAGATCCCCTTTACCATCAATGGGAAGAGAGCACTTACAGAGAAAGACTAATGCAAAAGCAGTCAGAACTGTGCTTTCAAAGTGCCTTTTTTTTTCCTCCATTTAATATAAACAGAGTTTACATAAGTAGTTCATTTTCCAATGTGTGCTGTAATTGCCTAAGGAGTCTAACCACAGTCATGCAGTTGCAGGTTCAAATAATTTAAGTCTGACAGGATACTGACTACATCACCCAACTCTTGTACATTTTCGCCTGTGAATCCAATTGTTTGATATTCATTTTGAGTAAATTTACTTTTGGGTTCTAATCCGACCTTTTCCAAACTTGTCTAGATTTGGAAATAAAGGGAAAATTTAAGGCTCTGCTACATTTGTGGAAGATGTAAATATTAAGAAAGATTATAGTGCACCTATTTCAACAAAGTGTAGCTTAACATAACCAAGGAATAGCTTTACACTGTGGGATAGAATGCAGGGCTACAGAACAAGAACCACATATTATGGGGGAAAAGTATTGTGGATTTAGGACTACCAGTTGACAAACAGCTCAACACCCTAGTGCTAATGTTGGCTTTAGGTGTCAGCAGAGACGTAAGTTAAATGAAGTAAATCATTCTCTGTACAGACTGCTAATGATACAAATACTTAAACACCTTTTTAATTGTTTCTTATCTAGAGCAAACACCTTGTTCCTTCTCAGACTTACATTTCCTCATTTTCTACTGTATTCAAGTCTGTCTATAACCTTCAAGCTGCCAGACTGATTTTCTAGTTGCTTTGTTTTCCTCTACTTCCCTTTATTCATTTTTACCTCAACTACTTCTTTTTAACACCAACTTCAAATCTGAGCAGCAGAAGGTAGACAATAAATTCTAGGAACTACAACACCTCCTTCAAAGGAAAGAAGTAATAAAATCTCACAGAATCACAGAATGGCCAGGATTGGAAGGGACTCCAAGGATCATGAATCTCCAACCCCCCTGCCACATGCAGGGCCATCAACCTTCCCACCTAATGCTAGACCAGGCTGCCCAGGACCCCATCCAATCTGGCCTTGAACACCTCCAGGGACGGGGCATCCACAACCTCTCTGGGCAGCCTGTTCCAGTACCTCACCACTTCTTTCAAAGAAAGAAGTACCAAAACCTCTCTACCATTTTTATTTTATTAAGCTGATAGATCACATGGAATTCTGTGTTCTCTATAGTCTCCTAATTTCATGCTTTTTAGCTGATGTATAATTCTTCTGTTTCTGATTTTTCACTAGATTAGTACATAAGTGTTCTAGACTGACTTTTTGTTCAGTTTGGTTTTTAAAGAAGTAATTTTGCTACCGTTCCTCAAAACATTTTCTGTTTCATTTGCCCTGACAAACACTTTCCATTTGCTCGTAGGGAGGATTACCTGCAGCTGGATGCCTAATGTGGCATTCTTCTTTCCAAAAGCAGAGCTCTTCTTCGAGGATCTCTTTAACTCTCTTACATGGCTCAACGTACAGAAAGTTCTTCCCTGTTAGCAAAACACATCACACAAAAACCGGTCATTTTAACTTCCCTGATGCTGGTTTGTTTTCAAGCATGTGATTTCATTTTATCCTATTCTTCTTGCTCTAATACACTTTAAGACAGATTTACAGACACGATAACGTTCAGCTACGAGGCTCTGCACCACGGGATGCTGCAGCCAAGGCAACCTCGTGCTCTGGGGAGCTGTGGCGATGCAGTCCCTTCATGGTGAACAACCCAAGGTGGAGCTGAGGGCGGGCGGAGCAGGTCTCGTACCCACGGCAGCGGGCGCTGCCCCCCGAAAGAGGGCAACCCTACGCCAGGCGGCCCAGGGAGGGATGTGACAGCTCCCCTCCCCATCATCCCCTCCCTCCAGGGCTTTCTGGAGCCCTCAGGAGAAGCCCAGCGCCCAGGGGACGGGAGAGCCGGGAAGAGCGCGCGGGGCAGGGCGACAGGAGGGGACGGGGCGCTCACGGGGCTGCCCGCCTCCCGCCGTCTCGCTGCTGCCATCGCCGTCCGACTCCTCGGCCGCCCCCGCCCGCTGCTGGCTGTTGGCCGCCCTCATGGCCGCCGCGCCCGGCGGGTAGGAGGCGCGTGGGGCGGTTGCCCGGGGAGCGGGCGCGTTCCGCTCGGGCGGGCTGCGCTGGGCGGCGGCTGCACACCGCCATCTTGTGGCTGCGCTGTAGGAGGGTGCAGCCATAGAACGACGGAACATCCCGAGTCGGAAGGGCGCCGTACGGATCTTCCAGACTGAATGCTGGCACCGCGCAGAACCATCCCAAAGCCAGAGCGCACTCTGAGAGCGTTGTCCAGATGCTTCTTGAACTCTAGCAAGCTCGGTGCCATGACCAGCGCGCTGGAGAGGCTGTTCCTGTGCATGACCACCCTCTGGTGAACAACCTTTTCCACATCCAACACGACCCTCCTCCGGTGCAGCTCATGCCGTCCTATTGGGTTCTGCTGTTGGTCGCAACAGAGCTCAGCGCTGCCCTCCGTTCCCTGCGAGGAGCTGCAGCCGCCATCAGGCCTCCCGTCAGCCGCTCTGCTCTGAGCCAAGCGCACCGCCAGCCACCCCTCATAGGTCTTCCTCTGCAGACCCTTCACCATCTTCATAAACCCCCACCTTCACCTCCTTTGGAAACTCTCTACCAGTTTTACGTCCTTCTTGTACTGTGGTGCCCAAAACTGCATGCAGTCATGTTAGGAGGCTGGCTGGCTCCAAGAGAGCAGGGTGACGGAGATGCCCTCAAAGATGTTCCATCAGAGGACCAAATGCAGACTAACATAGAATCATTCAGGTTGGAAAAGACCTCTAAGATCATCCAGTCCAACCATCAGCCCACTCCCACCATGCCCATTCACCATGTGCCTCCACACCACATGTCCACATTTCTTCAATACCTTCAGGGACAGTGATTCCCCCACCTCCCTGCCTGTGCCAATACTCTTTCTGTTCACTCTTTCTAAGAAGAAATTGTTCCTAATATCCATTTTTTCCTAATATCAACATATATAATACATAATATATATATGTACATCTATATATATATAAATACACATATAATATATTCAACCAGAGATGAAGAGTCCCAAGCCTTTATTGTAAACCACTGCATTTCTAACTTGCATTACTGCAGAGAAAAACTGCACTGAAGTGCACGCTTAATGATCTTAAACAAACCACATTCACTTTGGTTAAATCATGGCAGTAAGACCTCTGTCAGACCTGGAAGCCCAGCTCAGATTTGGCTACCAAGAACTAACCCTCAGGTACACAGGATTTTGGTTGTTTATCCTCACCCAGTTGAAGTTCCTAAGAATAGTTCATTTGATTTATGAACAGGCAATTTCATTGACTACTGAGCTTTCAATTAAAGATATGACAATAAAATATTTAGGGTTAAGTGTTTTATTTTATAATAGGCCTTACACCAGATCACTAAGCATTTTGTAAATCACCCAAGTAAGTTATATTCATTCAGAGCTTCCATGCAGTTTAAAAACAGTTCCTCAAAAAATAATTTTCTAGTGAGCTGTAATAAACTCTGCATAACCAAACCTGAATTTCACACAACAAACATAGTCCAGTTTTCCCTCCTGTTTTGACATTAATGTTTTGGACCAAACATCCCTCCAAATCTGCACTTATTAAGCACAGAGTCACTGAAATTATGGAATTCACTAAAGCTTTCTGAATACCCTGATAACAGTAATGGCACTTCAAAGTATGAGGGAAACCACTGAGTTGAATTGCAAAAGGTGAGATTTTGACTGATAAGAATATTTCAGTATCTTAAATGACAATCTTGATGCAAAGGGACAGACCAAGCACACAGATGCTGTGTGACAAACAAGAGGCAGTAAAACTCACATTCACAGCTTTTAAGGGGACACAGCATTTATGCAGTCTTCCACTATTTCAAAAAGGTAGTGGTATATATCGGTCCTCCTAGCAATGTCAAGGGCAGTTTCATCCAAGTTATTTTTCAGGTCAGCTTTTATGTAGCGATTCATCAGCAGAAGTTCAAGGGTTTCCCTACTGTTTTTGTTTCCTGCAGCAATATGTAAAGGTGTCAACAACCCATTTGTCTGAGCGTTGATGTCTGCACCCTGCTGAAGTAAGAACGCGGCCACTTCTGTATTGTTCCACTTGCACGCGCTGTGCAGGGGCGTCCACCCATCCACTGTCTGTGCGTGAATATCTGCCCCCTGGGCAACCAACTCCCGGGCCATGTCCAAGTGCCCACTGTAGGAAGCTCGATGGAGAGGAGTGTATTGATCTTCATCACGAGCATTAACTGGAGCCAGCTTTTCGGAAAGGAGTCTCCTCACTGTAGTCAGCTATTGAAGGGAAACAGGGAATTTAATACGAACCTTTATAAAAAAGAAACACCATTTCTTTTGTTCTAAAAATGCTTTTTTTTTTTTTTTTTTTCCCCAAAGAAAAAGCAGTTTCTGTCCGTCTCACAAAAGACTATGCGCGATAGAAAATTTTAAGATGAAACCAATTATTATTACTTGAAATGGAGACACAACAGTCTGGCATAAAAACACAACTGTGATTCACCTCACTCAGTGTGGGGCATTTAGCTGCAGCACCTCAAGGACTACTTTTGCCTCTGAAGAAACATGTGCCTCCACACAACTGTAAGTGCCTTCTGTGTACATTTATTTTCAGTGGCAGCCTTTGTTATAAACACAAGGATGTAACAAACTGCCTGACAAGAATCTTCATCTTCTCACTCCATTTTCCAAGAACAAAAAGCTTTTTTGTATTAACAAGATTGGGGGGGGGGGAAGAAAAAAAAAAAAAAGTAGGATTGGACTCGATCCTTATAGGTCTCTTCCATTCTCAGCATATGTAGATTTGAAGAAAATAAAACTTCACATACACCCTCTGCACTCCAGTTAAAATGCTCACATACCATGAAGTCTGGCACACTTTTGAGTTGATCCAAGTTTAAGAACAGCGCTCATATTTCAACTCTGATCTACAGTCAAAGCTTTTCTTCTGAAATCTAATTGGCCAAGAAATATTTTAGTGTGTGGAATACAAAGGCAGATGCTTTCCAGAGCAGCTTGCGAAACCTAGGTCAAAATAGCTGGGAGGAATAAAGAGTAGCATAGGGAAGTTTCTGTTGTGGATGGAACTGCAGACATCTATTCAACACAACGTTTTTGTTGGTGACACACAGAACACAGATGCCTTACCCGATTGTTTTCAGCTGCCCACAGTAGCAATTTCTCTGGATTTTTCTCCATTTTTTTTTCTTGCATCTCATACCATTCCTCGCTTCTTTCTTGTTCATCGTCTTCATCATCAGACTGCCCCGACCAACCGCTCTGAGTTCCTATAGGAATCAAATGCCGGTGCGTCTCCAGCAGCTCGAGTTGGTTAAAGCTCTCTGTAAACTCTGCAAACTCATCGCTGTCATCATCCCTCTCATCAGCGTCCTTCTCAGCAGCACGTTTGCCTCTGCTCATTTTCGGTTGGCATCTGTAAGGCGTAGATACACAGCAGTATTTGTATTCAGTGTTGCTCACACACTGTCAGTGGAAACAGGCCCGGGGAAGCACAGGTCTCGCTCCCCTCTGCCCCGCAGCACCCCGCGTGGTGTCGGTACCCCCCGCTTTCCCAGCCCTGCTCTACAACAAGCCTTACGGGCCTCCCATCCACTCTCGCCCCCGTCCAGCCCCGCTTAGCTTTACCCCCGCCCCGCGACGAAGCAAACCGACGCACCGATGCCCGGGAACGCCGCTCCGGAGGCGGGGCTTTTCCAGCGGGGCGGTGCTTCCGCCGGGACGCGCCCACCCACCTGAGCGAGGAGCCCTTCCGGCTCGTCGCTCCCGGCGGAAGTGACGTAAGCTCCATGGCGGGAGTCAGCCGCCGACTGACCAATCGCGCGGCTCGGCGGGAGAGACGGCGAACGAGAGCGCGCTGCGAGTGGGCGGTTCTCGCGAGAACGGCGCGGCGCTCGGCCGGGTGCTATAGAAACGGCGTGAGGGTCGGGCTGTGGGCCGGGGCAGCTGTGGGCGCGTCCTGTAGGCCGGGCGGGGCCGGCTTCGGGGGCTGCGCTGCTTTCATGGTGTGAGGGGCTGGGCTGCGCTTGGTCGGAAGTGGCTGAAGCAGGTTCAGAGCTTTCTTGATCTGTGCTCGAGAGTGTTTGTAAGTTGTCCGTAATAAAAGGCTGAGCGGTTGCCGGTTCGGATTGCTGTGCCCTTCGTTGTGACTCGTTTGTGTTCTTGTCTCTTAGGCACTGATGCATCTGTGACACCGGGAGCCGATTCTCTTCCCTCTCTCGCTGCGCTTGGAGCCTTTTTTTGAGGAATCCTAGCAGGAAGATGAGTGCCGTCGGCTTGCAGTAAGCCCTCAGCTGTAGCACGATGCAGTTCTGCCATACCAGGCAGCAAACTTTGGGTGCATTTGGAATGAGCTAAGAGCTCAGAACTGTGTTTGTTCTCGTGCAAGTCCTTTCCTTTGTGTGTTTGTGGGTTCCCAAAGTGAACAAACATGGAATGTTTATTTGCAGAGTTTTTCAAAGGTTGAAAACATACAGAGCACTCTTTACATTTTCATTAGGTGTTTGCAGCCATTTTCTGAACTAAACTGATTAGGATAACCTAACTCTGAAGTTGGTTTGTTTGGCCATAGAGTCATAGAGTATCCTAACTTGGAAGGGACCCATAAGGATCATCAAGTCCAACTCCTGGCTCTGCACAGGGCCACCCAAAAATCAGACCCTATGTCTGAGAGCATTGTCCAAATGTTCCTTGAACTTTAGCAGTTTGGGGTTGTGCCCTCTGCCCTGAGAGGTCTGTTTCAGGGCCTGACCAAGATCAAGTGCCACTTGCAAGTAAAGCAGTTTTTGAGAGTGTTACAGGAAAAGTACAGTGATAAGAGTTTTATAATAGATCTACTGTGTATTTAATGACTGTATACCAAACAAGTTACTTTAATAAGGTTTGTGCTGAAATTTTCCTGGTTTATTTAGGGATGATGAAGATACCTTTAAGATACTGATTGCTACTGATATTCATCTTGGCTATTTGGAGAAGGACCCAGTGCGTGGAAATGATACATTTGTAACTTTTAATGAAATTTTGGAGCATGCTCAAAAAAACGAAGTAAGTATTACTTTTTGGAAAGTAAAGGAGACTAGAAGATCTATTCCAACCTGCTAGAAGCTATGAAGCTTAGTCTTACAATCTTTTGTAATGTTAAACTAAGCACTTATTTATTGCAATCAGCTACGTTTTTCCCTTAGTAAAAGAAATGCTAGTGTCTTTGTGAGAGCATTTTTCTTAAATTATAATCTTGGATGTGTGATTGGCATTTCCAGTGTGCCTGCACCAGTTCCAGGGACATTTAGAGAGGTTTTAATGCTGCAAGAGTGGAAAATCACTGGGAGAGAAGAGGTACTGGGGGGATGAAAGGATAGAGCACAGCCTTACCCCAGAACCTGGGGACTTGGGGGTACTGGTGGATGGCAGCTGAGCATGAGCCAGTAATGTGCCCTCATAGCCCAGAGAGCCAACTGTACCCTGGGCTGCATCTAGAGCAGTGTGGCCAGCAGGGTGAGGGAGGTGATCTTACCCTCTGCTCTGCTGAGGCCTCACCTGGAGCACTGCGTCCAGATGTGGAGTCCTCAGTTGTTTTAAAAACATGTTTTTCAAAATAATTTACTTAGTTTACTTATTCTGTAGTTAATTGGTTCATGAATATCTGCAACCACAGACTTGTTTAAACGGCGTCCCGGTATGAAACATGTGGGAGTACTTAGAAGTAATTTAATGAATTTGCTTACAGGCCTTTAAGGTAATACAAAATGTCGCATTGAAATAATGGGGCTCTTTGTTATATACAGGTGGACTTCGTTTTATTAGGTGGGGACCTCTTTCATGAAAACAAACCTTCCAGAAAAACAATCCATACTTGTTTAGAGTCACTAAGAAAATACTGCATGGGTGATCGTCCTGTTCACTTTGAAGTTCTGAGTGATCAGGCAGTTAATTTTCAGTTCAGCAAGTAAGTCTGTTTCTTACAAGTTACTGTGTCATGTTTGTTTGTTTTTCATATTGGATGAAGGTGTTGTGATTTTTATTTATTTGTTCTTAAATGCTGTATATCACAGAATCATAGAATGGCCTGGGTTGAAAAGGACCACGATGATCATCCAGTTTCAACCCCCCTGCTATGTGCAGGGTTACCAACCACCAGACCAGGCTGCCCAGAGCCACATCCAGCCTGGCCTTGAATGCCTCCAGGGATGGGGCATCCACAACCTCCTTGGGCAACCTGTTCCTCTATGGCTGCCACCTTGAAGTGATAGGCCTGTGTATGGGGCAGTTTATAGCATCACTTCATCTATCAACTTCTATTAAGTCTATAAAGGACTGTACACCATCTGTTGAGAAACCTCTGAAGATGTTGTAACAGTTGTAAGACACAACCTTATTACTTAAATCTATCAAGTAAACCAACTTAAATTAATTACTGTGCTAAAATAAATGGTCTTTTGTGTGTAAAGGTTGTACAGCCCAGACTTCTGTTTTCATATATTATATTAGCTCTTTAAAATTATTAATAACAATAAAAATATTTTTGCTACCATACTCCCATTAGGAACTTCCACACTGTGAATAAGAATCTTCTTCTGATATGGAGTTTAAGTTTATTCACAGCCACTTGGTATCGTTTGTGCTGCTGTCACATATTTCTGATGACAATTTGAAGAAAATACTGGGAAATTTTTGTTCACAAATTTATAGTTGTATTATAACTTGTTTTCCTCTATTTGTTCAGGTTTCCATGGGTGAACTATCAGGATGAAAATCTCAACATTTCTATGCCAATTTTTAGTATTCATGGCAATCATGATGATCCCACAGGGGTAATTATTATCAGAATTATGCTACTATGTTACAAAAATAATATTGTAGGATGGACTTGTATAAAAATACAGTTCTGGAGGAACAGGCTTGTTTGAGTCAGTTCTTTCCCTCTTCATGTAAATATTCTGTGTACCTTTAGAAGTTCTTAGTTAGTGGCAGCAGCCTCAGGGTGTCATTAAAAAAGAGAATCAAAATAAGGGATCCGTATGGACTCTATTATATATTTTAATATACATAGGCTTTGATAACTGGGAACAGAATCACTTCCCATGCTAAGAAGTGGCATCATCCTTTTAGGAAGTTTCTAAAACAAACTCATCTATAGAAACTGAAAACCTTTTTCTTAAGGAAAGGAAATATTAATAGTTTGACTTGTGCTTAAATTCCCTGCACAATTGATAGACATCTTCAATTTTGAGTGTTTAATTTCAAGGAAGGTAAACTAATAATGTTGAAATGCTTGTTTAAAATCCAACATCTAAAACTAAACAGGAAAAAAAAAGAACATTTGGAAAGCACACACTAAAGTAGGAGTTTTGTATTTTATGACAAACAGCAGTGTATTATGGTGATGGGTATTTTAACAGTAATCTCAGTCCTTCTATGAAGTGTTAGGTCAGGCAGTTTTTTGTAGTATGCTTAGATGCTGGCTGGGGTTCTCTCTTATTTTTCTAAATGATTTAATATTTAGTTTCCCATTGTTAGAATTAAGATTTGTAAGAAAGGTTTTGCTTCTGTTCCAGTGAATACTAAAAAGTGCTAATATAGCTACCTGGCAAGATTTCCAACTGCAGAATGTATTTAAGGAAGGTATCCTCTTTCCCTTCTGAAACTATTTCCCTTAGACTTTAAAGGTTGCATTTCCTGTTGAAAGCATTTATTTGATTCTCTCTGTTTTCTACAGGTGGATGCACTGTGTGCACTGGATATTTTAAGCTGTGCAGGATTGCTGAATCATTTTGGACGTTCAACTTCTGTGGAGAAAATAGATATTAGCCCCATTTTATTACGTAAGGGTAGAACAAAAATTGCTCTGTATGGCTTAGGTAAGAATTTCTTCTGCCATGCTGTGGCTCAGCTGTTCACACATTGCCAAAGCTCAATATATCTAAATTAAGTTGGAACAGACACACCTTTCAGTCTGTTGCTGTATAAGTAAATGGTGTTGTATTCATTCAGTGCAGTGTTGTTGCTCCTTTTTTGTTTACAGAAGTTCTTCACTCTGCCCCTTTATTTTATATCCAGCCATGAATGCTTCAACACTGATTTCCAAGCAGCTTTTACAGCTCTCTGTTAAGCTCTAGTTGGCCATGATTCCTTCTATTAAATGAGATATTTTAGAGTTTGGTGTTCTAAAAGTTAATAATGAATGTTCTAATACCACAGTGTCAAACTTCACAAAAAGCAGTTGAATACCCAAAAAAAATCACTATTGGGAAATGCAACAGCATTCTAAAGTGGAAATATTGCTGTGCAAAAATGTTTGAGAGATGTTCCTTTGAAGTCATCTCTGTTTTACACCCTCTTGACTTTGATTTGTAGAGCACTTTTTCATGCAGAATAGAATTACATTCTATGTGGGATTCTTTGAAGTCCATAATAAAAATGAAGCATCATTGTGGTTGGTTTTGGTTTTGTTTAGTTGGTTGAGTTTATTTTGCTAGTTTTGTTTTTTTGTTTTTCCTTACCTAAGGAAACAAACAGCAACAACTAGTTCAGAAGGACTGCAGATTTTTTTTTCCTGCTGTGTGGGAAAGCACAAACTTTGTAAAATTTGTGGTTTCTCTCTTGTTTTCTAGAGAATTTCAAAATACACTTAAGAACTCCAGCTCTACTCAGTCATATGTGGTTTTGGAGTGTTTCTTACAACAGAATGTGCTTTTTCCATTGGCAAGAAATAAAACATCTCCTATTCTTAATTCTGTCCCTGGTATGGTGTTTGGCACAGAAAACTGACAAAGAGTTTTTAAGCTAGAAGTAGTTAATGAAACTGCTTTCAGCAGTTATTTGAAGGTAGATTTCTTGTAAGAATGCCTTGCATCATTACATAGGCTTCTAATATGACAGTTAGAGTTCGTCATCCCACCATTGTCTTCTTAGTCACAAAAATGACAATCTTACCACAGGGTTGTTTTATTTTTTTTTTAATAGAGTTGCTAATTAATACACTATAAAATATAGATAGACCACACAAAAATGTTTTATTGTTTTGTTTTGTCCCCTGCAGGGGCCATTCCAGATGAGAGGTTGTATCGTATGTTTGTCAATAAACAAGTAACCATGCTGAGGCCAAAGGAGGATGAAGACAGTTGGTTTAACTTGTTTGTGATTCATCAGAATAGGTAGCAGTTGAATGAATGAATGAATTATGGTGACTTAAACTTAGTGTGTTGTTCTCATGAAACTGCTTTGAAAACTGCAGGAGAGAAAGCCTCTATGCTGGCTTGTGCTTTGTGTGAGTGGATGGCCTCAAGATTTTCCCAAACAGAAGCACTGTTTTACAGCTGTTCTTACAGAAGAACCATAATGGAAAAGAGTTAAAATAAATGAGTTGGAAATGCTGGGAAGTTGATTCCCAAACTCTTCATATCTGAGAGCCAGGAAGATTTCATCTAAGCCTTAAGTCTGCTTGTTAGATGTGAGAGACCAGTAAACCTCATATCCCATTTCCTACATTTTGACCCATAATTCCATTAATATTGTATCTTTACTTGCATTGCTATTCTTTACAGTTTCTCTTAATTAGAGGATAGTAGCTTGTGTTCTTTCTGCCTACCCATTTCTTCCAGCAGTATCAGTAGGAACAGGCAGATTCTTTAATTTTTCATGCATCACAGTGTGGCTGTCATGTGGGAGATAATGGTGAGGTAGAAGTCAACAAACACAGCTGGGACCCCTGGCTGTTGGCTCTGCCCTGTAGGCTGAAGGAGCTTCTCTCAATCTCTTCCATCTTTTGGAAAGGGCAGTGAGCTTCATTCAGAACAGAAAAACCCTACTGAAAATTTCCCTGTGTGAGTAAACTGTCTTTGACTTGACTCAAATCTGTATAAGTTGTCTTACCCATATACTTCAAACAATTGGATAAAAGAAAAAATATGAAGAGTGCCTGATGTAAAATGTACATCAGGTATTTTTGCTAGAGATTCTCCTTCATTTTAATATCACTTTGGTGGTTTTTTCCTCCTTCGCTCCACACCTGTGCCTACCCATTACTGTACACTAATTATTTTTCTGTTTTCTTGAATAGAAGCAAACATGGAGCCACAAACTACATTCCAGAGCAGTTTTTAGATGACTTTATTAATCTTGTTGTATGGGGTCATGAACACGAGTGTAAAATAACTCCAGCCCAAAACGAACAGCAGCATTTTTATGTTACTCAGCCAGGAAGTTCAGTGGTGACATCTCTGTCCCCAGGAGAAGCTGTAAAGAAGTATGTGATTTCTTTTTTTTTATTATTGTTATTTATCTTTTGTCTTATGTGTTTTGTGTTGACAAATGACATCTACATAGCCAAGGAAAATACTCCTTTTTAGTATGAAAGGAATTGTGTTGTAACATGGATTAGTGTCACAGTGTGACATGAGAAATGAAGCAGATGGAATCAGTGCCTGGGGTAAGTTTGTTTAGTTTAGAACTAAACCTGATGTTCAAAACAAACAGAACTTATCCAAGAGGATAAGTTAAGGATAAGATAAATGCAATGCAATGAACTGTGTGCAGAACAGGCATTATCTGAATATGCTGTGTTGCAAGTTTTGCAGTGCCAACACTGAAGTGCATATCCAAGGAGTTCCCATAGCTTTAAATTTTTTTACTGTGGCTTTAAAACTTTTACATCAAAACCTCCTCCCTCCTCCCTGCCCCCCCAAAAAGAAAAGAACCATGGGGTCTAGAACAAATTTCTGCACCGTATTCTTAAGTTCATCTTCAAGTAACTTGCCTTTCTCCTCTTAGACATGTTGGTTTGCTGCGTGTTAAAGGAAAAAAAATGAAAATGCAGAGGATTGCTTTAGAGACCGTACGAACTTTCTATATGGAAGATGTTGTCCTGGCTGATCACCCAGAACTGTTTAATCCTGACAATCCTAAAGTAACTCAGGCAATACAAGCATTCTGCATGGAAAAGGTAACTTCTAATGCTAGTGGTATATGGAAATCAGCATATGGGTGGGGAATGTGGTCTGTGACTAGTTTTAAGAGTGGAAGACAAGGAATCTTATTTGTTGTCCCCTATTATTTGAAACCGACAAGTAGTGTTTCAACAGAAGGCTAATTCCATGACATTCACTGCAGCTTTGGCCTCTAAACTAGGGTTACCTATTAAAGCAGGCTGTAACTGCTTTGCAGATGTCCACCTGTCTTTCTACAAAAATTCCCACCTGAGGATGTATACTTTGGAACCAGCATAAATACACAGACCTAAACCCCAAGAGCTGAACTGTACAGTGTGAAATGATCCAAGTAACTGAGGCAGATTTATTGCTTGCTCTTGGTTCTTAGAGCCTTATAAGTCTCTTCCTGCTTTTTATCTGGAGTACTGTACCCAGTTTTGGGCTCCATGGTACAAAACAGGCAGGGATCTCCTGAAGAGTCCAGCAGAGGGCCACAAAGACGATAAAGGGCCTGGAGCATCTCTCCTGTGAGGAAAGGCTGGGCAAGCTGGGTCTGTTCAGTTTTGAGAAAAGGCTCAGAAGGGATCTCTGAGTATCTTTAGTGTGGGAGTCCAAGAGACATGGCCGACCTCTTTTCAGAGGTCTGTAGGGACAGGACAAGGGGAAATAGCCATAAAGTGGAGCATAGGAAGTTCAGCACCAATATGCAAAGGAACTTCTTCGTGGTGAGGGTGACGGAGCACTGGCACAGACTGCCCAGGGAGGTTGTGTATTCTCCTCTGGAGATATTCAAGACCCACCTGGGTAGTTGGACTTGATCTCTGTAGGTCCCTTCCAGCCCCTACAATTGTGATTCTTTTCCCTGGAAATGATCATGAGCAGATGTAGATGCTGCTGAGCTACGCTGTATTGGAGATAGGCAAGTTACATTTGAAGGTTTCAGGTATCTGTAAGAGAATAAAGTGGAATTGAATTCCTGCTTCTGCTCCATAGGTTGAAATGATGCTGGATAATGCAGAAAGAGAACGCCTTGGAAATCCACGCCAGCCAGAGAAGCCTCTCATTAGATTACGAGTAAGCTGTTGTTTGGATTATTTTGCATTTGAAAAGTCACTGTGAAAAGCTGCAAAGCAAAAACGGTGCTTGTTGTATAAATATATGCAATTTCTTGCTGTGTACAGGCAGTCCAATCTGCTTTCATGCTCTGATTCTCTTAACCTCTGGTAAAAATAATGTTGTATGGTACAGAATAAGATTCATCAATGTACTTCTTTGCTGGTCTGAATGAGGAGATCAAAAGTGACCATTTACAGAGGATTTTTTAAGTCATATTATCATTCTGGATAACATGGAAACTTTCCTTAACCCTTGTAAATGGAACAAGCTCTGAATCTGTGCTTGTATTAGCTATTCTGCATAGTATGGTAAAACATTAATTTTAGATTGGCTTATTTTTTTACTTCACTTTTTTTTTTTTGCTTTGAAAAGTAACATAACAAGCTTGTCATACAAACCAGGACATCTCTTTTCCTGCTTGTTTCATGTTTTATTTTTTTCTGTCCTCACTTAGGTTGATTACACAGGTGGTTTTGAGCCATTCATCATCCATCGTTTCAGCCAGAAGTACATGGATAGGGTGGCCAACCCAAAGGACATCATACATTTTTTCAGACATCGTGAACAAAAAGAAAAAAACGGTAATTGGAAAGGAAGACTTCCCTTAGCTTTCTTCTTTTTTTTTTTTTCCTTCCTTTGTTTTGTTAGTCAGCCTTTGCTAAACTTTGGTGTCTTCTACCTAACGAGTTACAGGAATAATAGCTATGTATATAATCTTACTGCAGAAGAATTTCTACTTCGTTCCCAGATTTGTCTAAAAATTCTGATATTGAATGTGGTGTCTGTCAAGTAGTTGTTCACAAACAATTCACCTCAAATCTTACTGAGTTGCCTGCAGTGCTACCTATAGCCCCATATCAGGCTGTGTCATAATCATGAGGAAAAGCATTAAACATCTTCCTGCTGGAACTTCTCAGAAGGAGATGGTTGGCTTTGGGCACTCTGTAGGAAAAAAGGTGTATGAGGTGCTTCTGGCTTTTCAGCCTGTTCCAGGGATGTTTCTCTTCAAGCATTTTTTGGCAAAACAAATAACAGTTGTCATTGTAGCACTTCTCACTGTGCCTGGAATTTGTAATAAATGGTTAATAGATACTGCCCTAATACTGGATTTGTAAATAGGCACTAATGAAGGTACAGCTTGCACAAGAACATACTGTGCTAATCTAAAGAACTGTTAATGTTACACATTAGTGCATTCTGAATACTCCAATTCCAGAGACAGTTATTATTTTCGTTGTCAGTTTTATAAAGATTGAAGCATGATGGTTCATGAATAAAAACAACTTCTAGGGAAGTGGTTTTGGTTTTTTAAAATATGCAGTGTTGCCCTTGTTCTATTTGTTTCTTTATTTATTTGCTCATTAAACAGTCCCATTAATATTTTCAGAATGTAAGACAGCTCCCTCACTGTATTTTATCAATGCATTTTAATTTTCCTTTTTAATCCGAGCTTGAGGAAGGAAATATAAGAAGAATGCCATGGTTCTTTGCATTACTTTGCTACCTTCTGCTGTAATTTAGGTGGCTGGTGAAGCAGGCAGAATTTCCTTTGCATGTATACATAACACTGTGGCTCAGTACAGAATGATGTTTACACTTTTTAGTAGTTCAGAAGTTGTTATTCTTTGTTTCTTTGGTTATAGCTGCTTATCTAACAAGGCCAATCCAGCAGCGTTTTATGCTTGGGCGTGACAAGTGTCTAGAAATAGTCATTAGAATCAAAGTATGCTTTGAATTGGACAGGATCTTTAAGATCATCTAGTTCCAATCCCCCTGCTGTAGGCAGGGACACCTCCCACTAGACCCATCTGCAGTCATTTTGTATTTCATGGTATGGTGTGTGATAGCCTCAGTTGATCATCACCATCGTTCTTCTGTTGTTCCTACCTTGCTTCTTTGGAGTGCAGGGCAGCCTCACTGTGCTATGCATTTTTCTTTTACTCAAAGTCAACCAGCATAGTTATGAATAGCCTTCAGGATGTGGTGTTCTGTTCCTAATTCCAGAAGTTTAGTAGTTAGAAATATTTTTTATATCTATGAGGAATGTGGTTGTCTTGTATAGATATTTCATCTGTTATATTTAGCTGTGTTTGCATCCAGTAGTGTACAGCTTGAATAGATCTTTACACATAAAAGGACCATGATTCTTAAGAGATCTATATTATATATTTTTTTTCCTCTTTAATTACTATAATTAGGATAATTAAAATCTGTCAGCTCCTGCATGAGTTGTGGGTTACAGCATCACTATGCTTTTCTGTTTTAGACAACGATCTTAATTTTGGAAAGCTGTTTAGCAGACCTGCTTCTGAGGGGGTGACACTGAGAGTAGAAGACCTTGTAAAGCAGTATTTTCAGACAGCAGAGAAGGTATCTTTGTATCTTTTATGAATTTGTGTGTATATTTTTTCTTTTGTTACATGTATTACTTTATTTATGGATGCAGTATGTACTGAAAAGACTGACAGCCACCAAGAAGTTCCTTTATTTCCTGTATAACTGTATATGCCTTAGGTAAGCAATTAATTGTTGCACGTAGGGTACGTAGGGTGTGTGAACACACACTGTTTTGATAAATCACAGTAGCTCTTCATGTGAACTTGAAGCATCTGCCCTGCACTGAATGTTGCATCCTGTTGCTACAGAAGGAAAGCCTGAGGCAGTCCTCAGAAGCTACTTTAATTTGTTATGGGGAGATGGTGAGGCTGTACCAGTTACAAGTACCAGCTGAGTTGGAATCATTTGTTACCCTGCAGTGTGTTTGGTGTCCTCAGATATAATGCAGTCCCACATGTTTAAAGCAAAGCAGAGAGGACAAAGAAAGCACCTAACGGTTTGCTTTTGTCTCACCCTTTCATTAAATCTTATCTACTGCCTTTCCCCAGCTATGGGGCTGCAAAGTCTTAGGAGTAAAATATAGTAAAATATAGTGACCAGTGAGTCAGCCACTCAAATGCTGAATCTAGAAACTATTTCAGAACATGCTTTATAGAAGGTCTTTAGAACTAGGATTCCTGAGGCAAAGATCACCAAATTTTTATCACCTTGCCTAACACAGGCCCCTAACATAAATTAAGCTCTGGAAGGGCTCTTTGCTATCTGAATATGATAGGGAATGAAACCCAGGATGAGTAATTCAGAAGCAAGCAGTGCTTCAAATGTATGCCATCCCTGAATCCCATGGAGAGAAGTAGCAGGGTCCAACACTACTGTTCTGTGAAGAATAATTCTGCTTTTAAACTGTTTTCCTTCCTTATTCTGCAAAATTGTCCCTCTTAGACCATCTTCCCAATTTCTTTGTACATGCTTATATAAACAGCTCGTATAAACCAGTCCCAGCTTTTGAGGTCTGTTTCAGCTGCTCAGCATCTCTAAAAGACCTGAAAGAACCAGCAGATGTTCCTGAAAGGCTTACAGTAGAGGAATAATACATTTCAAGTCAACAGTGCTAAAGGAAGAAAGAAATGTGGAGGAAGTATGTTGCCCCCCAAGATGGAGATAGGGCTTGTGCTTCAGGCTCTGCTAGGCACCTCATCTTGTCTGATTAGGTGGGTAGAACAGCAGTCAGACCCTGAGGTGGCACAGGGCTGTATTTGGGTGTTCCAAAAATGTTAAACCCAAACTATTTAACAAGTGGCAGGCATTTTGGTTCCACTGTTGCTGGTAAGCTGAGGCCTGGGAAATGAAATCACTGCTATTTGTTTCTTTAGTAAGTTGTATTTTTTTTTCCACTCCTTCAGAGGAAACCTTAATTGTTGAAAGTCAGCATTAACATTCTGCATTATTACAGTCAGTCTCTCTTTTGAGATGCTTGCCTTATCGTTTTGTAAATTTGATAAAAATTAATTCCCCTGTTAAGCATTATTTCAGGGAAGGTTTTTTGCTTCTGGTGTAACTCACAGTACAGTTCCTAAAGGACAAGTGGAAGGATCAAGAGTTATTAAGAAGTGTATATATAATGCTTTTTATTAAGAAATTATCCCTGCTTTAGTTTACAGTCAGAAGAAACTGCTGGTTAAACACTTTTCATATAGGGGTTTCTTTCTCAGAGCATCTCTTCTTACTCTATAGGGGTAAAGAAGATGAAGAAGAGAATGGCAGTAAAACACACCAGTAGCTTCTGTTACTTCTACTAATTAATGCTAGTGGTAATATCTCATTGTAGAATATTTTGATGAATATCATCTCCCTTGATGACCAAATATTGGTATTTACAGAATTTCATTTCAGTACAGTAGATTTCTGCTTTATAGCTCTTAATGCTTCAGAATAATTTAGCCAGCTCTGTCACTGTCAGTTTTTTAATATTAGTATTTTACAATAAAACTAATTAGCTTAGCATTTGTAATAATTCGGTGCCTGTTTCTAATTACTTTTTATGTCTCCACAAGTAGATCTTTGATAATTTTAAAAAGGGGAAGTTGACTAGGAAAAAATATAGCTTACCATCTCCCTCAGTTACACATTTGAGACAAATTGTTTTAGATATGATCAGCATTGCAATTTCCTACATTAGGTGAGGCATAACATGCTAATAGCAGGTAAGTTGTACCTGTTGGGAGGAATAATGTTTGCTTGTTGCTCAGTTATTTTCTGACTGAAATCTTCAGTGCTACTTCAGTGTTACTACTTTTGAAACCAAACATAATTTTAGTTTAGTGGGACAGCAGGAATATCATTCATTTTCTTTGAAACTGTTTTCCCCTTATTTTAAAGAAAGTACAACTTTCACTCCTAACTGAAAGAGGAATGGGAGAAGCAGTGCAGGAGTTTGTGGACAAAGAAGAAAAAGATGCCATAGAGGAACTGGTGAAGTTTCAGCTAGAGAAAACACAAAGATTTCTTAAGGAGCGTCACATTGATGCAGAGGAAGTAAAAATAGATGAGGAGGTAATGTTCTGTTATGGTCAAGTCTTTAGAAGAGGTGAAGACAGTATTAAAAAAAAAAAAAGTTGGTGCTCAAAGCTGGTTACGTAGCCTTGCCTATGTGCTGCACTTGGAACACTTGTCTCTAGTCCTTTTTTGTAATTAACATGGAGATTAGGTTCCATATAGAGAGTTCATAACTTTGTGCTAAAGATGTTTTATGTTATGCCTATATTGCAGTTTATCTCTTCTCGAGAATCATGGTCTTCTATGTTTCTGCTTCATCCTCTACCCTGCCTGTTCCATTTATTCCTATTTCACTGTCACTTATTGACTGTTTACTTATTTTGCTTCTCCTGAACGTACCTCCTGCATTTCATCATTTGCCATGCATTTCATCATGTGCAGTTACAGGAGAGCTGCCAATAGGATGTGAGATTCTTAATTTGTAGCATCACACGACTGTGGTTAGTATAAGAAAACTCTAAACAAGATTTTAAGCTATTTTTACATTCTTGCTCTCCTCTTGCATGAGCTTGACTTCAGTTCAGAGATGGTCTTCTTTCTTACTGTGTTTCCATTACTGTACAAGTTGTTATTCTGAAGGAAACTCTTCTTTTTATTACTCTTGTTATTCATTCAGGTGCGAAAATTTAGGGAGAGTAGAAGAGAAAACACTGAAGAAGAGGATGAGGAAGTTCGAGAGGTAACTGCTCAGAATTTTGGACTTAGACTGAAGGATGGAATTTTGCATATGAGTGGAGTCACTGTATAAATAATTCAGCATCATCCCTGCCAAAAAGTGCCTGTCTACATGGAGAAGATTAACAACTCTTGAAATCATCTTTTGTGTAATATGTACCCAAGCTGCTGCTCAGTTCAGCCTTTGAGATCTGTTCTTCTAGAAGTCTGTGAACCTGAATGTTCAGTTGCCCTTGCTTTGAACCAGGCAGGTGGCCTTCAGAGTGAATGGGCTGTATTGATACTTAAAGAAATTGCTGCTGTTGGTAAACATTTTGGTACTATTGACCTTATCAGCAAACCAGATCCTGGATCTCCCAGAGATTTGTGTCTAGATGTTATAACTTTCCATAGAGAATTCCCAACCACTGCTGGTTTGTTTCTGTAAGCTGTGTGGGACTGGTATGAAATTTTGAAGGAAAGAACACCTAAAGATGATTCATTTCTCCTAATCTGTTGTGTTTTCACTTTAACAAGTTGTCACTGATATCAGTGAAGATAATGTCAGTGGAGCTTGGAGAATTCTTCACCTGAGCAGGTGTACGTAGCTGACGTAGGATGACTTACTGCTCACAGCAGAGTTAGGTGAACAACCACATTAACTAGCTCCACAGCTGACAACTGCACATCCAAATGAAACAAAATAAATACTGCCTCAGCTTTTTGACAGATATCCTTGCCTTTCATAAGGCTGTGGATTTGGATCTTCTAAGGCTCAGTTGTTTATCACAACTAGGATTCAACAGTTGTGCATTTCATGATTTAAGATTCTTTTCCATCTGGCACCTATTATTCCATTACAGGCTATGACGAGGGCTAGAGCTCACAGGTCCAAGGATGTGGTTCTTGACTCAGCCTCCAGTGATGAAGAACTCATGGATACAGGGATCAAAGCCTCTGGTGATTCAGATGATGACATTCCCACAACACTGAGCCGAGGAAGGGGTAGAGGTAGGGCAAGAGGTGCAAGAGGGCAAAATTCAACAGCAAGAGGGGCATCTCGAAGGGGAAGAGGTAAGAAATACACTCAAATTCTTCACTGACATTTTTCTTTAAAAGGAGTTTCTCTTCAAATGCTTCCATCAAATGGAAGCTTCTAGCTAAAAACACCCAGTGATAAAATAAAATGCTGAAATGATTTAGGTACCATGTGATACACAGTTGAATGTCTTCTGTGACTTAAGTTGTGACTTCATGGTGCATTTAAAAGAAAGTTACCATTCTTCCCAGCTGTGGAGGCATAATAGGCTCATAAGAGATCCATTACTAGGAAGGTCTGTTCCTATGGATTGCATGGATATATCTTTGCTGCTAATGCAGCGTTATGCATTTGATAGTATAGACAGAATGTACAGATTGTCTTAAATAGCTCCTTGGCTTTGTGTGATCATGCAGGCCTTGCATTATGGAGGGCTGTAAAGAAAAATAAATAAAAGATGGGGACTTGCAATGCTCTACTCCTTTGAGTTGTCAGTAATATGCCTAAAGGTCTTAAGTGAGAGATCTAAGAGCAGGATGAGTTGAAAGAAAGGCAGTCATCTTAGGATTGGGTTGGTTAGTGCCTGAAATCAGTTTTGAGTGTGTGATTTAATGTTGAGATTCACTCAGAGCTGTGACATGACACGTGTGTTGAGACTCTCTGTGGAGCTCTAAGCACTTGACCCAAAGTAGTTCATCTGCATGTAGGGGGGCTTTGTGTCAAGGAAGAAAGGAAGGGAGTAAAGATTAATTAGGTTTTTATGTGACTTGCCTTTCATTACAGAGAAAAATTACAGAAAATGTCATGCAGGAAAAAAAAATAACCTTTAGGAATTAAAAATGACTACCAAACAGACTTGGATATTGTTTATTTTTCATATAGGAAACACTAGCCAAGGGTCATCTACTAGCAGCAGAACATACAAATCTGTGCCTGACAAGAATTTGTCTATCATGGATGGTAAGCCTATGTTCTGTCCATCACTCTAATATGCTCTCCTATTGTAGTAAATTTACTTACTGGACATGTTTAATTGCCTTCATTTCTATTAGTCCAGTTCAGCTGGGAGAGATGATTTTGGTTCAAATGAAGCAGGATAACTAACAGTGATGAGAGAAGGAAAAAAGGAATTATATCTGCTGTCACTGGGGGTAAAATGAAATGTGCTGGGAACAGTGGAGTTGGACTTGATCGTTGTAGGTCCCTTCCAATCTGGGATATTCTTTGATTAGGCTGGAACTGGGCATGGGTAATAGTTGACTGTAAACTGTATGCAGTTCTTTAAGGGATATGAATAGAAGGAGTATGTCTTAGCAGCATCTATTCTATACAGAATATGCAGAAACTGGTTAAAATTCTTAAACTTGATTGATGCTTACAGGTTTAGTAAGCTTTAAGAATCCATCTTGCCTTATTTTTTTTGCAAATTTAAGAAACATTGGTTTGTACCAAAGAAGAGGAACTCACCTGCACTTTAAGCTGCATGCAAGAGAGCAGCCCTTCCTTGGTACAGAGGGCAGGCTCTGAGGAAATGGTGTAAATGATCTCAGTACTAAAGAGAAAATACTGCTCAAGAATTTTTACATAAATCCCCTCCGAAATACCCAAAGGTGGCTCAAGTTTTAAATTAATCATAGTCTCAGCAAATGACCAAAAACAATGCAGAGAAATCAACTTCAGAAGATGTGTTAATGTCTAGTAGGGATGTCCAGCCCTTTGACTTGCCTGAGCCCCATACAAAACTGGGGAACAAAACCATAAAACTAACAGATTAGGTGCATACGTATGTTAGACATACAGGAGTGTCAGTCATGGTAATGTTTTTCTCTGCCTCTTAACTAAAGCTACTGATGTTTTTTCATCCAGACTGGGAAGCTCCTACTGATGTGGGTTGTCAGACGTCAGCAAGGGCTTAGCTTGTACTGTTATCTGCCAGGGACCTTTGCTTCTCTTAGTTTGAGGTTGACTTTTTTATTGCAGAGGAAACTGATAAGCAGGTTTTCTGAAAGAAACAGAGTAGTTGTTGCATTTTTTTGTGTGAGCACTTAAAAATACTGCATTTCTTTCTTTCCCAGCCTTTAGGTCTTTGAAACCAGAGCCTTCCCAGAGTGCATCTAAATTTTTCTCTGAGGTAAGAAGCATCTGAAAAGGAGTGAAGCTGCATATCTGCTGCCATTTGCTGCCATCTGCTTTAGGAAACAAATACACAGTCATAACATTAACTTCAACCAGCAGGTGTTCCCAAGCCATGGGTTCCAACAGGAAGGTTCCACATGCTAATTTGTAGACTTCTTTTTGATATGGGGGTCTATATGTGAAATACAAAGACCATGTGTTACTTGTGACTACAGTCTGAGATACTAAGAGTAAATACATGAGTGTTTTTGGGGTTTCTGCAAGATCTTGTGCAACAACTGTACACATAGTACAGTTTTCCTCTGGAGCCTTCTCATATGTGCATTGTAAATAAGTAGCTATATACTTGAAATGAATTCAAGAAAGTTACTGTGCAATAATACTGCAGTATTATGTATTCTATTTCTCTAAAAATAAGTTCTGTGAAATAGCCTTATAAGTAGTGTCTATCTTTCAGGATATTATAGATGATGAATTGGATCTAGAAGAGTCTCATATTAGTCTTTCCTCCAAAACAAACCAAAGGTCAGTATGTTTATTTGGTGGGTGCTGCAGTGGCTGCCTCATTTCTGATTGTTTTTTGGCAGAGCCCAGGGAACTGATCCACTGCCTGAAAAAATAGACTCACAAGTTTCATAATAAATCTTACAGAAGTCATCTGTATTTTTTGCCTGTTAACATGGGTGATCTTCATATAAAAATAAGTTGGTGTACTGACTGACATAAGCTAGGTCAGAGTTTCAGAATCTGTGTTAGTTTGAGAATTTTTGAGTTAAGAATCATTTTGCTTATTATTTTTTGGTGTTGTTAAACTCTTTATTGGTGGTTGAAGGGAAACTTACTGAAATGTCTGCTATCTGAGAACATGCTGGTGCCTTTTTTTGTTTTCTTTTCAAGGTTCTCAGCTATGTCTTCATTTAGTAAAAGAGGTTCACAAAGCCAAATGTCCAGAGGAGTTGATTTTGAGTCAGATGAGGTATGGTATATTCTAGCCTTTGTTTATGTGTTGTCTGTTGATGTGCATTTCTATAGATTATTGGTTTTGAAGTTATTGAAATAAAGCATTTCTGATTAAAATCAAATTAATTTATTTTTACTAGTACAACTAGATTATTATAACCAGCTTTAATATATATACATAGACATAAAACATAAGGCTAGAAAGGGAAATACCTCAAGTACTTAATCAGTGTGTGATATGGAAATGGCTATAATTTCACTGAAGTATGTGCTGCTCAGAATGATAACCTTTTCCTAGCTCACCCCAAAATACAGGTTGCTGTTCTGATCACACTGACTCAAGCTTTGTCTCTGTTCTCTGCATATTTGTGACTTGAACTTTCAAATCCATAGGTAATATCCTTGCAATCAAATGTAATAAAAACAGGCTTGTCAGAAAGCACGGAATTGAGTGACCTGGCTATTTTAATCTAAAGGTGACTTTACTTTTTCTGACTCAGAATGTGTGTTAGTTCTAATAATGCACATCTGTTTACATATTGCAGGATGACCCGTTCAAAAGCACTGCAACGTCACGAAGAAAGAAATGATCTCTGCCTCGCTACACAGAAGGGACTGTGAAGTAAATGGAAAGCAGTTTGCAAGGCATACTCTGCATGACATTTCTCTGGACATGATAGTTTGCCTTCAGCCTTCACTTCTATGAAATGTTTTGAGTGGCACCAAATTTAATATCATTGTGTGTTACATTAATTGGTGCATACAGATAAGAATGCATACTTGGGCAGCAAGACATTTATTTTCAATTTTCTACAGGTACAGTTGAAAACTCTTAAGGAGTCATAGTTTAATCCAAAAATGCTGTTTTCAGGAATAAAGCTGGAAAATATTCTAACACTTTCAACTTAATAGGAAAACTAAACCTGCTGTGGCATTGTTACTACATGTCAGAGTACACAGAAGTTATTGCTGCTGTGTAGTTCAAGAGCTGGCAAGGAGTTCAGATAGAACTGCGTTCTCAATGTTTACCTTGTTAATAGGATTTAAGAGCTAGAACCTTACAGCTTCACAAGGAATGCTGATTGAAGAGTAAAGCAATGAGCTAGTAACAAGCATGCCATTGCCTCTTACCTTTTCTTAGCTAACAGTTTTTCAGGTGTCTGTTGCCATGTTCTTCCTAAAATGTCATTGCCATTTTTCAAAAGATTTCTTCATATGAGGTTTTTAAAATATAGTACTTGATTCACAGTGGGGGCAGCAGTCCTGTTGAGGGATCCAAGACCCATCTCTCCTTTCCCTTTTCCTCCTCTGTGCCACACTCTGCAGAAGGTGGTGGTCTACAGCTGCAGCCTTCAGAATTAGCTGAGGGAAAAGCTTATACCCCAACGTGTCTGAGAAACACCAAATGAGTAATTGAAGCCATGCTTTTGCATTTGTGTCCTCTGTCTGAGGGACTGGGTGTTTATGGTGTTCTGGCTCTCACTGAACATGACTGTTACTTCGTGTGCACATGTGCTGCAGCAGCAGACCTAAACGACCTTTGAGCTTCCTGAGGACTTCCATAGAAATGATCAGGTCTGTCAAATTTCTAATGTAAAGCTCAGGAGCAATTTGCAGGGAAGTGCTATTGCTTGAGATATCATGAGATAATTTGGTGTGTCTTTACCTTCATAAAGAGCTGTCACAGCTATCATAATGTTACCTATGCAAATAAAAAGCTGTTGTAAATGCCCTCCAGGATGAAGGTTTACATTTTTTTTTAAATAAACTGTTTCTGTTTAATAAATTCTGAATGTCAGTTGTATGAACTCCCTTGAGTGTGAGGCATTGAGTTTTTTAGAATACTTTACCTCTTTATGTTGCTATCTAAATGAAACCTGCTTTATTTAAGAAACAAAACAAAAGACAACAGTAGAACAACACCTAGTTTTTTTTTCACTGAGCTTTTAAGGGAATTCTGTCTCTTACTGTTTCAGTATATAGGAGGTGAAGATTTTAGCAAAGTATTTTGGATTAATAGGAATCATTTCAAAGGTTCTTTCTACCTTTTCCACAATTTTTTTCAGTTACAGAATCGCAGGGGTTGGAAGGGGCCTCAAGAAATCATTAAGTCCAGCCCCCTGCTAATGCAGGTTCCCTACAATAGGTCACACAGGTAGGTGTCCAGATGGTCCTTGAATATCTCCATAGAAAGAGACTCCACAACCAGTTCCATATTTGTATGGAACTTCCTGTGTTCAAGTTTTAGGCCATTACTCCTTGTCCTGTTGCTGTGCACCAATGAGAAGAGCCTGGCCTCAGATGTTTGCCTCCTACCTCCCTTGAAATAAACATTTATCAGATCCCTTCTCAGTCGTCTTTTGCCCAGGCTGAAGAGACCCAATTTACTCAGCCTTTCCTCATTCAGGAGGTGCTCCAGGCCATCTGTCATCTTTGTGGCCCTCCACTGGACTCCTCCTATGAGATCCCTGTCTTTTTGAACCAGGGAGCCTGGAACTGGATGCTGTTCCAGGTATGGCCTCACCATGGCAGAGTAGAGAGGGAAGATCGCTTCCCTTGACCTGCTGCCTGAGCTCTTTTGAATGCACTGCAGGATCCCATTGGCCTTCTTGGCCACCAGGGCACACTGCTGGCTCATGGCCAACCTGTTGTCCAACAGGACCCCCAGGTCCTCTGCAGAGCTCCTCCCCAGCAGCTCAGCCCCTAACCTGTACTGGTGCATGCAGTTATTCCCCCTGCATGTGCAAGGCTCTACACTTACTCTCATTAAATCTCATCAGGTTCCTCCCTGCCCAACTCTTCAGTCTGTCCAGATGTTGTAGAATGGCAGCACAGCCTTCTGGTGTGTCAGCCACTCCCAGCTTTATATCATCAGCAGACTTAATGAGGGTGGCCTCTCTTCCTTCATCCAGGTGGCTGATGGAGTCAGCTGTCAGATTCATAGCAGATTTTTTGTCATGTTAAACTGCAGCCATTCCCAAACTGTCTTTTAGGAGACGAAAACAGCATCTTTCATTCTGGAGACAAAAACGCAACCTGTTGTCCGTAGGTATTTTTTTAACACTGAAGGACCTTTCTCATCATCAGTGTGCTTTTATTCATTTCCACAAGGATAAGACACTCGGAGAGTCGATGTCAGTTCTCAGAGAATCCCCCTGGATAGTTTCTGAAAGGTCACTTCTCCCTCATGCAAATTGCAGTGCAGCTGCCCAAAGAAGGCTCAGATGTTGGCAGACCCGCACTGCATGAGAAGTTGTTTCCATGGATATGGTGGGGGTGTGCACTCTGCACTGCTTTTGTTTGTTGGGTTTTGGTTTTGTTTAATTACCCCTTTAGTTGAATGTTTCCAAATCCCATTTTGTAGAGTGTCTGGGTGGGTTGTTTTGATTTTACTACTGTTTTATGGCCTGTTTTCACTTCTCCTCTTTTCCTAAATTGTAACTTCAGCTGAGAGAGCTATTGAACAGAAATTTGTGGTGATGTAAATTGCCTGAGAGCCACTTATCTTTGTTTCAAGTGTTTTTTAAATACTTTTTTATTTTACGAGATGCCTCAGTTCACAGATACCTGATATTTCTGATAGCTCTTTCCTTTTGCAGTCATTGGATGATGGATGGAGATGTTGGCACACCATGAAGTCAGCTGAAACTGTATTCTGTGACTATTGAACGTATGTATATTCTTTTCACAGGGATCACATAAGAACTTTCAACACCGCTGAATGTTTGGAAAGGGAAATATCACACCCTACTGGGATCCTGTCTTTTCAGAGAGAGAACAGATTGGTACCCACATCAGGAAGAGGTACAGGAAGATGTGCAACTTGTGGAGGGATTAAGGGCGATAGGATAAGGGGGAATGGATTTAAACTGAGACAGGGGAGGTTTAGGTTAGATATTAGGAGGAAGTTTTTCACACAGAGGGTGCTGACACACCAGAACAGGCTGCCCAAGGAGGCTGTGGATGCCCCATCCCTGGAGGCACTCAAGGCCAGGCTGGATGTGGCTCTGGGCAGCCTGGTCTGCTGGTTGGTGACCCTGCACATAGCAGGGGGTTGAAACTAGATGGTCATTGTGGTCCTTTTCAACCCAGGCCATTCTGTGATTCTATGATTAAGGTATTTTTTAAATCTAAATGCATCCCTTGGCATTGAAAGCCAATTCTTCCTGTGAAGTTAGACAAAGTAAGAGAGAGTTCATTAGTAATGACAATGGGTGTCAGCCTGCTAGAGGAGTGCTGCCGTGTGTCTCTAATCTCTCTCGTGGCTGAGAAAGGAAGGCTTTATAGAATGCTATCAGCTCGTAATGATTTGGCAAAATTGCAGATTACTGAAATGAATCTTATCTCTGAGAATATATCTGCTGCCAGGTGGCTATTTCTGGTGGAGAGCACAGTGTGTGAGGCCTTATGGCAGCTGCACGGAGCTGTGTCAGGGGAGGGGCATGTGGGGGCTGTTAGGTTGGTCATCTCCTAACCCTTAAACCAGGCACAGCTTACAGTCATGGGGTGGCACCTTGTGCGTGCATTTATTTTCACCAGCACGTGTGTGCGTGACTTTCTGTGCTGTGCCCCTGTTCCATGCTAGTTTGTGGTGCTGTGAAATAGGCTGGAACTCGCCTGTTGATCTGGTAAAGCTGAACTTCTTTTTGAAATGTGTTCTGGAAGACAGCACAGCCCCTGCACACACTGCTGGTGCATAAGGAGCACCAAATCAGCATGAGCAGGGCTGCTCTTGGAGAAGGATGCTGAGAACCAAAGAGACAGATTTTGCCTGCTGTACAGAGTGCAGCTGTGATTGTCTTGGAGTGACGCCTGAGGGGAGTGTAATTGTGCAGAACTGCAGCACGTCAGAGCAGAAATAATGCTATGCAGCCCAATGGGCAGGAATGCTGGCTTGGAGCTTGTGCGAGGACACAGAGCTCCTCCGGAGGAGAAAAGTGACGAGGAGCTGAGCAGGAGAGGAGCTGAGCAGGAGAGAGAGGAGCCCCGCTCCCCTGGCTATGCCAGCGCATCACTGGCAGCAACGCGTGCACCTGTAGAGCCGCTGCTGCCCAGCCACAGCACTGCCCTAAATGGGTTATTTCCCCTGGGGAAGCACACAGCAACCTGCCAGAGATGTTCTCCTGTTTCGTTTGGCTCTCCCTCCCCTACTTCGTGAACACCTTCCCGACCTCAGGAAAGTTCCCCCTCAACAGAAGTCTTGAGGAGGTGTTGAAAATCCCAAACATCTCGGGGTTCTTTCCCTGGGATAACGACACGCTGGCCGACTGGCAGAGCTTTGTGGGCAGGAGCCGGCACGGAGCAGACTCGCAGCACGCGGCGGCCAAAGCTCTGCTCATCGCGGCGTATTCCATCATCATCATCTTCTCCCTCTTCGGCAACGTCCTGGTCTGCCACGTCATCATCAAGAGCAAACGCCTGCGCTCCGCCACCAGTCTGTTCATCGTCAACCTGGCCGTGGCTGACATCATGATCACGCTTCTCAACACGCCTTTTACACTGGTAAGATGGGGGCAGAGGCCTTTCTCGCTGGGAGGGCTGTGGCTGCAGCTCGGTGCACTGGGCTCACCTGCTGGGACACAGAGAATGTGCCATAAAGGCACTAAAGTAGCTTTAGTAGCCTCAGCAGTCTGGCAATGATTCAAGGCAGAAGGAAACTGCAATTTTAAGGCATCATTTACACAGCAGAAGTAGTTTTGTGCCGAAGGTGGAATCGTAGGGGTTAGAAGGGACCTCTGGAGCTCATCCAGTGCATCCCCCTGCTAAGGCAGGTTCCCTATGGGAGGTTGCTCATTTATGTCTGTGCATATAAGCATGTGGGCACGGGCACAAGTGCTAATGTCATTCTGATTCCAGGCTCGTTTTGTGAACAGCACGTGGATATTTGGGAAGGGGATGTGCCATGTCAGTAGGTTCGCGCAGTACTGCTCACTCCACGTCTCTGCTCTGACCCTCACAGCCATTGCCGTGGACAGGCATCAGGTGAGAACTCGCTGAAGCAGAGAGTAGGAAAGCTTGGAAGGGTGCAATTAAAATGAGAGAGTGTGATCCCAGTCCTTCCCTTCTCAGCTCACAGATTAATGTGAGATGCATGAAAGGCTGACAGTGTGGTGGAGCAGCTCTTTGATGTTTGATGGAGAACAGCTCCACACCTGCAGTAAGGTGGGATGTGTGCACTCCCAGCTGGGGACAGGAACTTTGCAGATGTTGATCCAGTCGCTCCCAGGCCAGGATGAAGTCTGAGGGCCTGATAGGAATTCAGACAGGCAGCTGTCCCATGTGGGAGGCTTCTTTGGCCCCAGTGCTGTTGGTGTGGGGATATCCTGCTTGGTGGCAGGCTGCCCTGGGACATCTCACTCCACGTGATGAGATGCAGAGGGTTGGTGTTTGTCATGAGCAGGGCAAAGCTGCTGCTGCTGCTAGAGGGATCAAGCCCGGGAGCAGTCACACATTACCAGGTTGGATTCACCCCAAACACTCACAAAGCAGGCTGGTGGTGGTACATTTTTCACTTGCAAACATCTAGCTGTTCCCACTGTCAGAAACATCCCGAGGAGCTCTGGCTACTGGCCTCTGGTCACTGAGACAGACTATGCCTCCATCCTTAATTTGCTTTTAAGCAAACAGAATCTGGAGATGAATATGTGTGTAAGGCCCACTGATGCCCTGTTTTTGCCACTCAGATTAAAATACCAAAGTTCAAGGGTCGGACTGGGATCTGGCTTTCCTTACTCCTGGATTATTTCAGACATTCATGTGCAGCTTGTAGGCAGTGAGAACTGAGAGGAGGCAGCACAGTTTGCATGCTGAATGTCCATGTCTAGTAATAGATGTAAGGATGGAAGCATACAAAAAATTGATACAATTATTTCCTGAAATGACACGAGCCTGAATGTTAGTTTCTTTTGAACAGGTCATAATGCACCCTCTGAAACCTCGCTTACCTATGGCAAAAGGCGTTATCTGCATCTCTATAATTTGGGTCATGGCAGCTTGTTTTTCCCTCCCACATGCTATCTACCAAAAACTCTTTACTTTTGAATACAGGTAAGGATGATTTTCCTATATTGGTGTATTTTCCTCTAGTCTCACCGGAGGCCAATTTCCTGATGGTTACACATTGGAATTTTCTATTGAAAGCCCTGAGCTCACTCTGAGGTTACCCAGAAAAGGGGGTAGTCTGTAATTTACATCAATTTCCATTTGTGATGGCTGACATCCTCTTCATTTTATTTTATTTTTTTTAATATTTATTCTATCACCCTAATCATACAAAATAGGACACAAAGTTCAGGAACAGTCCCAATCATTCTATTTCTATACACTGGCATTTGGGTGGGCTTCAAGGTCCCTTCCAACCCAAACTCTTCTATGGTTCTGGATATTTCTCCCTCTGCAGTGAGGAAGTCACTCGGTGCCTGTGCATCCCAGATTTCCCTGAGCCAGCTGACCTCTTCTGGAAGTACCTCGACTTAACGACCTTCGTTTTGCTCTACGTCCTGCCTCTGCTGATCATCTCTGCTGCCTACATGACAGTGGCCAAGAAACTCTGGCTGCGTAATATCATTGGGGATGTCACCACCGAGCAGTACTTCGCCCTTCGCAAAAAAAATAAGAAGACTATAAAGATGTTGATGCTCGTTGTCATCCTCTTTGCCATCTGCTGGTTTCCCTTAAATTGCTACGTCGTCCTGCTCTCCAGCCAAACCATCCGCTCCAACAATGCCCTTTACTTCGCCTTTCACTGGCTTGCAATGAGCAGCACCTGCTACAACCCCTTCATCTACTGCTGGCTCAATGACAGCTTCCGGGCAGAACTGAAGGCTTTGCTTAACATCTGCAGAAAACCTCCTAACCTTGCAGAACAGAGGCTTCCCTCCACGGTCCCTTCCTACCGACTGGCATGGCCTGAAAACAGCCACTTCAAGAGGCTGCAGGTCTCTCATGTCCCTGCCTCAGCCTCCATCAGCCACTTAGGAAAGATGGACATCTCTGCAGTTGAGCCCATAGTAGTTGTGAGCTAAATGGTGGCCTGGGAAGATGGATACAGACCACGCTTAGGTTTGACTGGATCTAGGCAGGTGGGAAGATGTGGAACCCTGGCCTAAGCAGAGACTGTGTCAACTCCTGTGGTTGTACTGAAAAGCCCAACTCCACAGCTGGTAGTGTGAAACTCCGATGCTAATGGCATGGAGACTCCAAAGGGAAGAAAGCAAAGCCTTGCCAGGAATGAGCTTTCTTTTTGTCTTGGTCAAGCTGACTTTGGGTCTGCTGGCAAAGAGGGATTCTCTGCATGTGTCTGTTATTTGTCCGAGTCTGTACCACTGGGGCCATTTGTGTGCTTTGCTGTTATTTAAGCACTCAAGCAGCACTCTGATGGTGTTAAGCCTCCCTCCTTTTAGTCTCTCAATAGCAGCACACAGACAGTAGAGATACAGAGACAGAAGTTGCTGGTTTGAATTCTTTTCTCCCATTTGTGAAAATATCTTCAGAGAGGTGGAGGGATAATAAACAGCCATTGGAAATTAGAGCTGTCTTTTACATCGCAAGCACTCCTCCTAAGGTAGGATTGAAGAAAACTTGATGGCTATTCTTTGTGTAAATAGATGGTAAACACCAACCTGTTAGCTCTGCATCTGTTGCCAGTGCTAAATCACACAGAACTGTACCTTTGTGAAACAGGCATGAATATTCACAAAGCTTTAATTCAAATAGAGACCTAAAGCCTGAAAACCTTGGACATATTGTCCATGGTTGGAGCACTGATGGTTAATTTGAGTTGGGAATCAGAGAATCATAGAATGGTTTGCGCTGGGAGGAACCATGAAAGGCCATTGAGTCCAACTTCTCTGCAATGAGGAGAAACACCTACAGCTTCATCTGGTGCTCAGAGCCCCATCCAGCCTGGATGAGATACTTTTGTTCAGGGCATCTCTATGTTGTTACCAGATGGTGGCTGAGGAATCCTGCAATGTGACTTTTTACTTTATTACTGTTGCTCTCTTCTCCTGTAAAGCACCTGGGAATTTCTCAGATCAGACACGTGGGATATTTCATCCCAGCTAAGATGTTCCCAATGATGATCCCAACTGAGCTCACTGGAACCAGTTCATAAATAAACTGCTGTAATGATATCTGTGATAGCAAGTAATAAAGGAGGAAGATTTTTGCAAGATATCCTCTTGTGAATGAGAAATTGTAGTGCATTTAAAGATTGGTGAGATGTGTCTTTCAGGGACAGCCATTAAGAAATTGATGTGACTGCAGCTCTCTGGTGTAGATTGCAGAAAATGCTAGATTCTGAATAAGACAGACAAAAGAGCATGTTGCCTCATATTGCACAGGGAAACGGTCACTTTGGTGCAGCAATTAGCTTTGATGTCACACAGGAGTGCCTGTTCCACGTTCAGCTTGTGATGGCCAGCAGATAAGTGAGAAAAACCTTTGTTATTAAAGGCTAAAAGAGGGAAGAAAAAAAAAAAAAAAGGAGAGAGAAAAAATACTATTCCCCAGTGTCCACTAATAAACTTACTCTGAAATCATATTAAGTCTTGTGTGGGTTTTTTCACACCCAAGTGCTTCAGGGGCTGCTGCCATTCTTTATCATAGAATCTTCAATGTTGGAAAAGACCTCTAAGATCACCATGTCCAGCCACCAACCCATCCCCACTGTGGCCACACACCACGTCCCTCAGTGCCACGTCTCCATGTTTCTTGAGCACCTCCAGGGACAGTAAATCCCCACCTCCCTGCGCAGCCTGTGCCAGTGCCTCACCACACTTTCTGAGAAGAAGTTTTTCCCATTCACTCCAGCAGTGCTCACAACAAAAGGCCCCCAGTGTTCAGAGCCCTTCGACCACCCTTCACATTCTGTGGCAGCAGATTCAGATTACTCCAGTAAATAAACCTTTGGGTATCACTAAGTCAGGTGTATGGCAGGGACAGGGGGACACGGGCAGGTGGGGATGGGTTGGCAGTTGGACTAGATGATCTTAAAGGTCTTTTCCAACCTTAATGATTCTATGACCCTTAGTCCTCTGGGCTTGCTGAAGTTCCAGAGCTCCATCTGAGGGAGCTTTTGCTGTGCAAGGAATTGCAGATTTAGTCTTGATCAGGGCTGATGAGCAGTGATGAGTGGACAAGCAGCAGAGTGATGCAAGTGATGCTCTGCCACCCTTGTGCTTAAATACAGCTTTGCCAAGCTGGAACTGTTTGGGCTGAGCCATGTTTTATGTCAGAAGTCTCTTCTTCCCATTCACTAAGTGTAATGGAGTTGTTTTCACTCACATCCAAATGCTACAACAGATTCTGCAGCTACATCCTTGTTCCTTAGCTCTGTTTGGGACGAGAGTCTGAACTCAGGAAGATGTTCTTTCTGAAGGTGAAGGTAACCTTTGGCCATTTTAAGACTCACCTCCCGTAGATTTGCATCCTTAAACAATTACATACAGAAATTTGTCAGAGCACAAACAGAAACTTGCCAGCAAACAAACCCTCAGATGCCCATGGCAGTGTTAGCTCCTTCCCTGACAGGGACTCTGGTGGGTCTGAGCAGGGCTCCCACAGTTACAGGATTCTGTGTGGAAAACTCTTCTTCAGGCTCTGTCTATGCCCTTCTGGATCCAGGCACAGAGAGGCTTTAAGAAGTGTGAGAGCTGATTTCATTACAAAGTCTCAAAGGGATGGACCTGGCAAAAGGAAAGGTATGTTGGGCAGATAATGGCCAGTGAACCTAACAGCCTGATTTGGGCCTGAGCTGGTGCACAGGTCCAGCAATTTTGGAGAGAGAGGACCTAAGAAGACAGGGAAGGAGCAAGCTCATAGGTGAAGCTCTAGAAACTGTGCTCTTCTAAACTGTACATAATACACTGAGCTACAATGTGCTTTATGTGCTACAGGGCAATTTCCTATCAGCACTGTCTTCATTTTCCTTATATCTGATTTGGGATTCTAGATGAACATCTTACATTCATTGGTGCTGCTGAAATCAGCAGGGGTTGTGCTCTGAGCACACAAAGTACGGTAGAATGCAAAGTATTCCAGAAACATTGTGTCCTGGGCAATTTGAATCGGGCTTCTAGGCTTCATGAGTAAATGTTCAGTTCCGTTGCAGATCAGAAGGTTCTTTTAAAATGTAAATGAAGTCATGAATAAAGTCGTTACACAGCATTCATGTGCTGCCTGGATGAGCGTGAAGGAGCCGTCTGAATTATGAGAAAATAAGATAAATGTGCAGTGCGGAGATTATCTTTCATTTTTTCCTGTGTGCACATTTGCCTGCTGCAGCTATGCTTTGTGCTGTATGTTGGTTTTATTAATGGGCAATGCTTTGGAATAACTGGGTTGAATAACAGAATGGCCTGGGTTGAAAAGGACCTCAAAGTTTCAAGCCTTGGGCACGGTTGCCAACCACTAGACCAGGCTGCCCAGAGCCACATCCAGCCTTGAACCATCAGGGTGATGATTTGGTAGCTGGCTTTTGATGGGATATAATCAAGAGGAAGCCTGACAGGGACTCTGGTGTGAGAAGAGGTGGTTGCTCTGGAGCACCATGAGGATGCTCTTGGAAGGCTCTTCTTCTCCATTGGTGATATAAAGCATCGTAGTCCATTGTGGAGCATTATGGAAGGTCTTGTAGCTTTATCCGACTTTCTAAGCAAGATGATTTTTCCCAGTTCCACATACATCCCCACGTGCTATGTTCAGGTGACCCGGCCAGGCTCTCTCCTGTGGCACATTGCTCCAGAGATGCTGCCTACAGGCTCCTTGCTATACTTCTTGGGTGCCTTCTGGTTGACAAGAACCAGATTTCCTAACTCATGCAAAGCCACACCTGCTTTCTTCCCTTGTTTTCAGTATCTTTATAGTTACCAAATGTCCTCCTGTTGGGGTGAAGGAGGAGAAATGCTACATGTGACATGCTGTGACCCTATGGCCATCCTCCTGTAGTCCTGTGGCCATCTGAACACAGGTCTTCCCCCGGTGGCTACCCTGTGCTGGGGCCATGTCTCTATCCCAGGGTAAGTGCTTTGACTGTTGTCAGTCATGCCTTTGGTTATCCGTAGAGATCTTTCTTTAAAGCCTGGATCTGTTTCCTTTGGAGCTTTCAGACATGTTCATTCCTACATCATCCATATCCATCTCAATATTTGCACTACAAGTCTCTACAAACTCATTTTCAAAGCTGTTTTAATCCACAGTTGTGCAGTATCAGTTTGTGGTCCACCACATCCACCAAGCCTTGGAGAAGTCCATAAGAAAACCCCTCTGCTTCTTACAAGACCGACCACAGCCAAGGGGCAAGACCAGGCTGGAAAAGGCCATGGACATAGCAGGGGGTTGGAATTGAATGACTCAAACCATTCTGTTATTGTATGATTATAGGATCATTTTTTGACTAGAGAAGGCATCCTCTGCAAAATGAATCAATTAAGGTCACATAGGTAAAGTTAGCGCTGGCAACTCTGGATGGGTAGGAAGGGCAACTGATATCATCTACCCGGATTTGTGAAATGGTCCTGTACCACATCCTTATCTCTAAATTGGAGAGATATGGATTTGAAGGCTGGACAATTTGGTGGATAAATAATTGGTTGGATGGTCACAGCCAGAGGACTGTTGACAATGGCTGTATGTCCGAGTGGAGGCTGGTCATGAGTGGTGTTCTCCAGAGGACCACCTTGGAACTGGTGCTCTTCAACACAGAATCAAAGAATCATACAATCCTTGGAGTTGGATCTGTATCAATGACATATACAGTGGGATCAGCAAGTTTGCTGATGACACCCATCTGAGTGATGCAGTTGATACAATAGAAGGAGGGGACGATGTCCAGAGGGACCTGGACAGACTCAAAAAGTGAGAACATGAGAACCTCATAAGGTTCAACAAGGCTGTGAGGAAGGTATTGTGGTTGGGTTGGGCAATCCCAGATGTGTGAGAGAAGAACTCCCTGAGAGAAGCCCTACATTAGGGATTCTGGTGGACAAAAAACTGCGCTTGCAGCCCAGAAGGACAACTGTGTTCTGGGCTGCATCAACAGAGAGGTGGCAGCAGGGAGGGGCAGAGGGGATTGTTCCCCTCTACTCAGCTCTTGTGAGGCCCCATCTGGAGTACTGTGCCAGGCCTGGGGCCTGCAGTACAGGAAACGTGTGGAGCAGTTGGAGTGCGTCCAGAGGAGGGCCACAAAGATGATCAAAGGCCTGGAGCATCTCTCCGATGGAAACAGGCTGAGGGAGTTGGGCTTACTCAGCTTGGAGAAGAGATGGCAGCGGGGAGACTTCATTGTAGCCTTCCAGTACTTGAAAGGAGCTTACAAGCAGGAGGGACTGACTTTTTACACAATGTAGTGGTGATAGAGACAAGGGGAAATGGCTTTTAACTCAGAGAGGAGATTTAGTTAGATGTTAGGAAGGAATTCTTTACTCAGAGGGCAGTGAGGCCCTGGCACAGCTGCATAGAGAGCTGTGGTGCCCATCCCTGGTGCTCAAAGCCAGCTTGGATGGGCCCTGGGCAGCCTGAGCTGGTGGGGGCAACCAGCCCATGGCAGGGGTTGGGGCTGGGTGGGCTTTGTGTTCCCTTCCAACCCAAACCATTCTATGACTTTAAGATTATGTGCCTCTATGATCTCCAAAACTTTGAGTGGTTGCCTCTGCAATTTTCATGAATTCTGAAGATTGCTATTTGTATTCAAAAGCAAAATCATTTGTACTGGCGATACTGGTTTTGTCTTTTTGTAACTCCTGAAAAATATTCCAGGACAGCTGTCCTATGAAAATTATCTTAAAATCTGTGAATTCATAAATATTAATTTACTATTTCTAACAGTATTTTATTAATTTCCTTCACGTAGAATTAGGCAGAGACCTTGAAAGGGAACAAAGACGATGCCAGCCTATGTTCTGAACAGCTCTCAGGGGAGAATAAAGCCTTTCTTGCACTTGTTGATGTCATTCAAGGTTTTTCCCTTCCAGCTTTCATTCCATTCTTACTCCTGTCCCTCTCCTCTCTGTCCTTAAAGCAATCAAGGGAAATGTCTGCTGAATGGGAACTTCAAGGCAGCACTTTGCTGTCACAATGCCAAGTGATACAAGAATTACTCAAGATTCTATGCCACTGCTGGACCTTCTTATTTTCCTCCTGCTCCAACTGCAGCAGGACGTGGTGCTGCTCAACATTGGTGCTCTGAAGGCAGAACATTCCCCACCTCCCTAAGCATTAAACTGAACTGATGCTTGCAAATGAATGTGATGATGACTTTTTCAAAGCTGACAGTGCAGAATATTCACAAAGCCTGTTTCTGTGATAGGTATAAGGAAGCCAAGACTCCTTGAATCACAGAATCACAGAATTGTAGGGATTGGAAGAACCTCTGGAAATCCCTGAGTCCATCCCTCCTGCTACAGCAGGTTCCCTACAGCAGCTTGCCCTGGAAAGTTTGACCCCAGAACATCACTAGGGAAAAGGTTACAGATTTCCCCTGCATGAAATGAATTTCAGCTTCTTTTGGCATTCTATCTGACTGCAGGGCAGCCCACCTTCCTCCTGTCAGTGCAGGATGCATGTGTTCACCTCTCTATTGGTGGAAAGCAGAAGAGGATTGCTAAAAACAGCAATTGGAACCTCAGGAACATTAATGCTATTATCTCAGAGAGGGCACCAAGTGCTATCTCTAAACTGTCTTTGCTTACAGTTCTCTTAGAGGAAAAATACCACAAGTTTCCAGAGGCTTGAAAATCTCATGTTTCTGGTGAGTAGAAACCACCTCCTAATTTCTTTAATGAATGCCTTTAGTTAGCTACTAGTAGCTAACACAGATGTGACTTTTATCTCAGGATCTCAAAGCACTTCCCAAAGGTTGATCCCCTTGGCCACATTTCTGTGCCACAAAGAGCAGTGGCACCCCATCCTTCAGTTACTGAGGACCTTAAGCATTTGCATTGAGACAGATAAATGTCAATGCTGTTTTCTGTGCTCATTTGGGTACTTCAAGCACAGCCATCACACAGCCACTGGCAGGTATTCCTGCTGAAGTTAGTCTGCAATGGACTTAGAAGAAGCAGTAAGTATCTACTTTAAGCACCTGGCTAGTAAAAATATGTTGTAAGAGTCTCAGGAATATCTGATCCCTCAAAACACACTGACCTGTCTCTGACACATAGATAAAGCCCCAGAAAAGCAGGTCCTACTGTTCCCCAGGAAACTGACTATTACTCAGAGCTGCTTTTTTCATCAACCTTTTGAGGGCTGGTGGCTAAGTTGGCAGCCTGCAGCTGAGTCACTAGCTGGGATGGTTGTGCCAACAGAGACATGAATCACTAAAACAGCTCTCAGAGGCAAGAACTTGTCCCAACCTTGGTAGCTGTCACCTCCCCAAAGCCCCCCATGCATTGTGACTTACAGTTAGAACAGCTGAGGTTGGATGGACCTCTGTGTCCATCTTGTCCAACCCCAGCTCCAGCAGGGACACCCAGAGCAGGGTGCCCAGTGCCGTGCCCAAGAGGCTTTGGAAGATCTCCAAGAACAGAGACTTTCAAAATCCATCTGGATATGGTTCTGGGCAACTCATAACTTGCTCTTGTCATTTGCTCTCTTA